CGCGCGCGCGCGCGCGCGCACAAACGCACACACACTTTCTCTCTCACACACGCACGCACACACACTCTCTCTCTCTCTCTCTATCTCTCTCTCTCTCTCTCTCACGCCCTGATACGCCCCAGACAGAGAATGTAACAATCTGCCGTCATCAAAAAGGTTCTGACTGTCAGTTGCAAACTCCGAGTGGTGGAAGAAATCAAAGAGATGCGCTTACACGGAAGCCGGAGTGGCAGGCAGTCTGGCAGGCATCAGGAAATCGATAGTTTATGTGTAGACAAACTTAAGTCTCTCTCTGGCTGTTAGCTTTCCCTTCCCGGGTGAGAGAACGAAGCTTTGTTCAAGCAACTGGAAACTACTACGCCATTTCCAGCTTTTGCTTTTACAAGGTTTTTCCAAATATTATGCTTTAGAGGGGAAATGAAACTAGTCATGCTGGCTTGGATCTTTGAAATGCTTTCAACTATTCAGCTTTAGTTAGTGAAAACATTATTGTGATCAACTCGTCAATTGAAGTCTTGTTCTAAATCAGGAGTCTCAAAATTTAGACAATGAGAACGCATGAGGCTTGGGACATTGTCACAGTCGAAATATCAATTGTCATGAGTTGACATACCATCCCCACCGCCCACCCCCTCAATCGCCCCGAAAATAAACCCACCCAACTAATAAAACCCACCCTCAAAGGCAGAATGTGGTTGTGGTCGATACATAATCCAATTTCAAGCCTTCACTTTTTTAATACTCGAGGAGGAGGAGGAGGAGGAGGAGGAGGAGGAGGAAGAGGACAACAGCAACAGCACCAACAACAACAACAACAACAAGAAATAGATCTAATTTTAAAAAATGAAAAACAAATGCAAGTACTGTATTATCATCAGTTATTGTATTCATCTTTCTCAGGGGCATTGTTTGCAATAAATTATTTTTTAAAAAACAACACTCATAATTGACAACACTCATAGAAGAAATCACAAAGAAGAGACAAGTCAGTACAGTTGCATTATAATATATTATGTGTCTTGGTTGAGTTCACATCAAGTTTAGTACAGCATATCATCACATCACACCCAGCATCAAGTCCAGAACCAAACAAAATCATTACTGTTGCTATAAACTAGTACAAAATTTCACCTGCCTGGCTAGGATTTTGGTTAGAGAAAAGAGACACAGGACATTAATCAAACCATCATTTCGTGTGCTGCCAAAGAGCAAGACAAATCAACTGGCTCAATGTAAGACTCCACCAAAAGAAACTTTTCAAAGATGGCTTATAACAGAGTCTTACACTTAGCAGTCGAGATTTGTAGATCTACAAATTACATTCTTTCTTTTTTACAGAAAAGCAAAAGACAGAAACAAAAAGAGGAAAAGAAAAGGAAGAAGGACCTTCCAGTGGGACCCTCCAACCACCACACGTACCAGGCCCCCATAAATGTTCCCTATCTAAACAGAAGAGTTCCACACTCCCTAATACCCAGTGCTCACTGGCACGATCGATTCGGTTCGGTTCGGTTTGCTAGCCAGATTGAGGGCACAAAGCAGCTATAATGGCACAAACCGATCGCCTGACTCGTCGTCTCAAAAACAAACGCGTTTGTTTTCAGGCGATGAGTCGGGCGATCGGGCGGTGATAGGTCTGTATGAAAGAACTGATCCCCCAAAGGGCACTCCGTACTAGAGAGGACAATCACTCAAGTCACACGGATCACAACAACGCTTCGCTGTGCCATTGAGCATTTCATTTTATCATCATTTTTTTTTTTAATGTAGGTGTTTTTACGCCACCATTGTACTATTTTACATCATAAAGAAGGCAGGCTTCTGTCTGACGCTGCCTATCAGGACCAACCCGAGCTAAGGGTACCTGAATTTAATATATCTAAAAGAGAATTAAGTAGTCTGTCGGAACATCTTGCTTTCTCAAATCACGCCTGTTTCGCGGGTAGACACAAGAGCACCTTCTGTCATAAGTAGTACGCAGAGATCAGTAAGCCTTTCATTCCACAGAGACAGGTCAGTTAATACCTTGCCAGTTTCATTCCTGGGAGAGGTGTTAATACATTGATATTTTTTTATTTTATGCGACGCTGATCAAGCCGTGTAGGGATAGGAATTACAGTTTGGAGTTTCTAAGGGGGTCACTATTCTATGGTCTACACACGCTCCCCAAACTGTTCTAAAAACATGTACAGTGCAGAGACAGCACACCTTTCTATACACACGATAAGGCCACACCAGAGGGGAATTTAATTTGGGTCCAAACTTTAAAAATCCTACAAAGCTAAAAAAAAAACCCAAACCAAACCCAACCTCAAATCCAAACCAATAAAAAATATATGTGGGGGGGGAAACCTCCTAGACTAGGTGCCCAACTGCCACGAAAACTTTGTGATCCACAAAGAACTTAGTGTAGCTGAGCAGCCCATCACTGATCAGGCAACATTTCAAAGCTACAAAGAGCACAACATACAGACAATTCAGCACTTTCTACACGCCAACCCGCACAGCATTTGTTTCAAAAGGACAAGTCATGCGTAGATGTAATGAAAATAGATCCCGTGAGGGGTGGTGTGTGTGTCAGTGTGTGTGTGTGTGTGTGTGTGTGTGTGTGTGTGTTTGTGTGTGTGAGTGAGTGTTGTGTGTGTGTGTGTGTTTGTGTGTGTGTGTGTGTGTGTGTGTGTGTGTGGAGGGGAAGGTGGTCTACAAGTGCTGCCCTGGCACAGACATGGCATTCGACCAGAACAGGCGAGAGCAACAGATGTGTGCTATAAAAATTTTTCTCCCAAAAATCCCAAATTGTTTTTTCAAGAAAGAGAGAGGAGTGACCGTGAAATCAACCGGCCACCAGATGATGACATGTACGATAATGGCATCCTCAAACACAGAAACATTCCACACTGTCAACATTAACATAGTAAAAAGACAATATTAACAGAAAACAGCACACGAGATACATAGAAACAGATCAGGAAAAATTCACACCATTGAAACATTTGCATTAACATAGCATTCTGTACAACAATAAATGCATGAAGTTAGCACCATTTTGTCAACAGCTAACAATACCAACAAACAATTATTATGTACACGTGCATAGAGAGGAGAATCGCTTTGGACAATTTTCTACAAACCATAATCGTAACATTTCAACAATAAATCTGAATCATTAAATATTCCGTTTCATGAAAATGAAATCTCACAAATCTCGCTCCTGTTCATTTTTCCCTTTCACTCTATTGCTTGATTCGTTCTCGTTCTTTCTTTCTCTCTCCGTGACTTATAGTGATGAGTGAAACACAAATTACACACAAAAACAACAAACAACCAAAAAACAACGACAAAAAACCCCCCCATTTCATTATGCCTCTTTAAGTGCCTCTCTGCTAGTTAAAAAACAACAAGGTATGGCTACAACACAATACTGATTTGCTTGCCAAAGTCTACAAAGGCACACACAGCACACAGTAACAAGTGCTACGGTAACAAATAGTACAATAACAAGTAGTACTAAGAACTTACTATATATATATAAAAAGTCATGAGTCTAGGAACATTTTCCAAGTAAAGCTGGAGACTTAAGTACAACATCAGTTTCCCACTGGGAAACTTGTGACCTTAACCAGTGGAAAAGTCATCTTTATAGAAATGTGCCAACATGAGAGACGAAGCATAGAAAAATGTCACATACACAATCACAGTAATTTATATATAATATTTTTAATAATATATGTATGTGTACATACATCCACTGCTTAGTGTAAGACTCCACCATACAAAATTTTGAAAAGTGACGTCTGATGTGAGTCTCACACTCAGCAGTCAATATAAAAACATGTACACATGCACGGTTTAAAAAACACACAATTGTGCAGAAAGGCACATTCAGCAAAAAGTACTGAGGGAATGTCACCCTTACACCAGTGTGAGTATTAACCAGAAATTTTTCCTTCACGTGAGAATATCTCAACTCGGGCCACAGCACTTCCACTCAGTAGAAGACACTTTTTGTGTCTGCCCCCCAACCGAAAAAAAAAAATCAACCTAATTTATTTAACTCCCAAACATGATACCAAAAATGACTAACTGGTAAGCTGAGAGCTCTATAAATATTGATTCCAATTCCAATGTCACCAATGTCTAGATTTAATTTGAAAATGACACAGCATTTAGTCCGTACTTTTGTCCAAAAAGTGCTTTTTTTTTTTTCAAAATTGGAATGAAATAGAGCTATTTTGAGGCAAAAGAGATCTTACAGCTGTGTTGAAAGCTTTCCAACTTAATGCACAGCAGGCAAATCTAAAATAAAACATACGCTGTGGATAAGGTAGATTCAAATTCAACCCCAAGAGTGAAATTTTGAATATAACATAAACATGATCCCCCCACCCTATTATTTTACAGCCTGGATCAAAAATAACCTCCATACCGCAATGCCACAGAAAGGACTGGTAGCACTATCAGACAATCTCTGATACTACCAGGACTTCTTGTCCAGTAAAAAAACATTGACCCTATAAAACTACAACCGAGCCCTTTCGAGGGAACAGCTGGCCTCAACTCTCCCACGGCTACTTAGCCACAAGGGCTTATGTCACTGAGGAAATTTACAAGGCATCTGTGCATACAGACCTATTCTGGAAATATGTAAAACATCTCTGTCAATAAAACCATATAGGACATTTTCAATGCAAAATCATACCATGGCTGTACTCTTGAAAATCATGAGACTTTTCTACCTTTAGAACAAATTCCTTGGATACATACATAAGTATTCCAAATAGGCCTCACACTCTCAGTGTAAAAAGAGCAATAATTTGAAAAAAGACAAAACTGATTCACATACCAACTGCCTATTGCAAGACTCCACCATACGCCACTTTGAAGAATGACTTATGAGGGAGTCTTACACGCTGTAGTATACATTGAGTTATGCGATAAGAGCATCCACCACAACTGACCATAAATAAGGCCTTCAGGTGCACAAAATGCTTACTTTACTGAACTGTTTCCAGAAAGGGCTTGAGTGCAAGTCCAAAATGACAACACGTGCCAAAGGATTTTGTTCTTGGCTCTCGAGTAAAATACAAAACATATCGAATGCTTAATGTAAGACTCTGCCATATGCCATTTTTAAGAGTGATATATGACAGTCTAACACTGAGCAGTCGTTAAACAGCAAAAATCACACAAAAAAAAAGAGAAGAAAAAAACATTTGTGCTGAGGTGAGAAAGACCGGCACAGAAAAAGAAACCTGGAAAAAAGTCAAAGGTATACCATCAAAACCATAGACTAACCCAAATCCAGAGACTCGTGCAACAAATTTCAGTGAGAAGATATGCTATGGGCATAGTGAGGCCACCGAAGAGTCAGTCAGTCGAGATACGGAGACTTCACAAAACCTTTCACAGTTGTGCTGACATGTAATAAAACTTCAGCTTGGTTGATTTGATTTAACAAGACTATGACTAGAGATTAGGTAAAGCAGGTTTTCAGTTCTTGTTTTTTTGTTTCTCAAATAATAAAAAAAACAATAAATTGACGAAAATTGACTTCTTTAACAGATATATTAGTATGTTGGTATCTTTACCAGACATGTTAGTATGGTTTTGTTCACAATATCCGTTATATAAAAAAAAAAAAAAGATTCTCAAGTGAAGGTTTGAGGAGACAAAACTTGCACATATAGCCTGGCATAATATAACAACCAGAGGAACATGCACGAAAACGAAAGCAACCCTTCTCAAACCTAGAGTATCAAATCTTTGTACAGATATTGAAACTAAATAACTGTACCGCAAGACCCATAATCCAACTACAAATTATGTATTTCAAAGAGGGTCAGGAAATGTAATTCTCTCTCCCCCTTCCCCCCGTAAACAATTCACTTACTGTGTTGGCTTTGGGGAACTGTAATTCAGAACTGTGTGGTAGCATTGAGGACGGCGTGACGAGCACAACACGAGGGTCCTGGTCGCGCCTTAGAGTGTTCCAACCAGCAGTGCACCCAAAGGCAACTACAGCAAGCATGAGAAGAGCACACACAACACTCTAGGATATGTAACAAAAGATTACCTATTTGTTCCTAGGATAACCTGATCGGTGTTGGTGACCATTCTAAGGCTCAGGAGACATTGAAATGCCAAAAAATCATGCATTAGTGAAGGGATTCATTTTGAAAGAATTATTTCGAAATATGCAGTAAAAACAGGGCAGAATTACCCTGCTTGTCACACACAATCTGAGACAACGCTCCCTTAATGCGAGAAAAGAATGGACGTTCTATTCATGTAGCTAGTTCAAAACAAAAATGTCATTCTCTTTTCTTAAGAACCATAGACTTCGTTATGCACTGCTTTAGGAACACCCTGATTATCAGAATCAAGGAAGAGCACCTGTTTGCATGTTCAGCGGTTACAACTGCCCATGGATGAGTAAAGGGGGTTAGTCATCCACCAGTCTAAGACAAGTCCCTCAATGCCTCACCAGCGGGTACATTAATGATGTTGTACAACTGGTGTCAGTTGCCTCCTACAGCATGCTTCGTGTGAGAGCTGAGGATTTGTGTGAGAGCTAAGGACGGCCAGTGAACGTGTTGTCATACATCTCTCACAGTGAAAGTGTTGTCAGACATCTCTCACACTGAACACGGCCAGTGAACTTGTCAGACATCTCTCACAGAACACGGACAGTGTTGTCAGACATCTCTCACAGCTGAACACGGCCAGTGTTGTCAGACATCTCTCACATCTTGAGCAGCTGTGCCTGTCACTGCCTGACATCATAAGTGACGACAGACGTGAGGCCACGAGGCCAGAGCGAGTCAGATCAACAGTTGACGGACGAGGGGGAGGAGAGAAAGAGAAAGTCCTCTACACATGCCACAGCTTCACCTCATCCTCTGAGTCACTTTTACTCTGTGGAAAAAAGATAAAGCAAGTCTTAGTTTGACTAATCAGAAACACATCTACAAAATAATGGTTATTAAGATAAAGTGATAAAGAACAAGTAAGATGGGTAGGTAGGTAAAACAGAGCAATTCTACAAAAGCAGAACTTACCGTTGTTACCTTCAAACCACAGGTAAGAAATGACAATTAATGGAGATCTGTACATACATCAAAATGGGACCATATGAAACATTATGGATCTAGCAGCGCCATGAACAAAGAAGATGACAGACAGCAGCAGGTTAACGTTTGTCTTCAAATCATATAAATGACAAAATTATTTTTTGCAAATTGTCCAATCTTTAAAAAACCCAGTTAAATGGTTAGAACATAACACCATCAATATATTGATGAATCATGGCACAGGAAGAGCTGACGGAAACACAAGAGCTATCCATCAAGTCCTCCAACCAACTTTACCGAGAGCTTCAAGGCACACAACAATTCAATCAGCCTCTATAAATTTCTACCAGCACAATCAAAAGTTTGTTCGAGTTCCTTAGATGTAAATTCAAGAAGCCAGCTTCATATTTTTGAGATCACAAGAAACACACATGGAAATCCCAGTCAAAGAAAGAAAGAGGAGAAAGCACAAGTCCCATCTCTACAACCGTTGTCAACTTACCCCCCCCCCCCCCACCCCTCCTCCCCTGGGTTGGGACAGCACTAACAAATATACAAAAATGTCTCACCTCAGAGTTCAGATTTTGCACTTTGGTAAGTAGATCCTCCTCCATAGACATTTTGCGGCCCAGTTCTATAGCACTTGCGCTACCTGGATGTCAAGGAGAGTCATTATTTGAGGGCAAAGCACATCACACACTCATCAACAAATACAAAGTAGGCATTACTTCAATAAACACTTAACTAGTGCTACATAGTCTTTCCTTCTCATTGGCTTTAATTTATCCACACAAAACATACAGGAAATTAACAGACAACAAAACAAGCGGCTAAAGACACATTCTTACATTATAAATGACTTGTGAGATATTTCTCCTCTACAAGCTTAACAGGTGAAAGCAATTAGAATGAGCCATGCCACAAATCAATGGCAAGTCATAAATGAAGTCAAACTGAAATTCTGGCGATATAAAAGTTCATACAGGACCATAGAAGTCATTTTCCGTAAAAATCAATCTGTTCATAATTTTAGAAAAAAACCCAACAAAACACCAAAAAAAAACCCAAAGACCCATCTGTCAAATTTTTAAATCAAAATTCCAACTACGTCAAGGTCCCTTCACCCTATCCCCTCATTAAAAACAACTCAGTGATTGATGTGACCACATTGATACAGTTTCTCCTCTCAGAAAGAACAGTTCAATCTTCGACATGGCTACAACGAAACCCTTCTCCTTCACTTACCAACAACAGCTCATTCACTGACAATTCTACAACAATACTCTCCCTCCCCCTGAGGGGAAAACAAAAGAGTCCCTCCTCTCTTCCTCTCCTAACCCTCCAACTCACCAGTCTTCATATGTCTGATGGTGGCAAACTCCCTGCAGCCTCCCGCCACCCCCAAGTCCCCGGAGGGACTGCTGCCCTGCCAGGCGTGTGATGCGATGAGTGAGGGTCTCGGGGAGTGTAGCGGGGAGTGGCACAGGGCGTGCAGGCTGGAGCTCCGCGCCAGAGCCAGCGGGGAGCGCTGGAACACCTTCACCATGGCCTCCTTCTCAACCACCTGGGTCTGGAGTTGCTTCACCCTGCGGGGGACACGACACAGCACAGTCCTTTAGTTTTAGTTTCAGTAATAGTTTTACAGCACTTGCAACACAAACAGGTCCTATAAGAGCCAGAGATTAAAGTGTTAGAAGAATTTTTGTTTTGTTTAAGTAAGAACTTTATGGCTCTTGCAACACAATAAGTTCATATAAGTGTCGAAGGTTAGAAGTGTTGCAAGAGAGTAACAAACATTAAAAAGGTGGAGAAGAGATCAAGACGATAGATGTTTGATAAGAAAGAAGGAGCGAACCATACCAAAGCACTCACTAACCACCCGCTGTAAGAGCAAGGCAAGTCAAGGTAATACAAAAAACGATACAATGAAGAAACAGGATCAAAGAAAGGAAACCCTTTAAAAATCTACCAAAGAACTGGTAGGGGCTTGGGGGAAGTTTACACCCTTAAAAGCAAAAAATAATGAGAAGAAAAAGTAACATGACACCTTGGTATGAGAATGTACTACAAAGATACTGAGTTCAAAGTTTCAGTAAAGAGGAACACTAAAACACAGCAACTGCTATTCAGATTGTAAAGTGCATAGAGCTTTCTGTTGGACAGGGATACACTCTATACAAATGCTATCTATTATTACTATTTATTGAATTAAGTACAGGGAAAAAAATCAAAAACACGTAGAGATAAAAGACGAAGTGATAAGAAGTGCGACCTACCACAGGCACCCTCCAACCGCCTCATAGTCTGAAACTGTCCAGTAACTACCACTCAGCAAACAATAACAAAAATAAATAAAATAATAATAATAATAGTAACAATATTAACAATGATAATAATAATAATAATAATAATAATAGATAGTATTTGTGTAACGCCAAATCCCGCCCAGTGTCACGCTCTAGGAGTTTTACAATCTACATTAACCCTTTCACTGCCAACCCTGCTCCTAAAATATCCTATCAAAGAACCCACGACAAACTGGAGGCTGAAAGGGTTAAGAAACAAGAGGAGCTGAGCCCAGCACAGCCAGAGACGAGGCGACTCACTTGGCCTCCAGCTCCGCCACCTTCCTCTGCGACTGATGCAGCTCCTCCATGTGTTTCAGTTTCTCCGTCTTGGCCTCGTCGATCAGCTTGCCCATGTCTGAGGAGCTCTTCTCTAGCGCCGCCAGACGTACCTCCCTGTGGACACACGGCAAGCAGTCAGTGAGGGCCAGTCAGTGAGGGGCAGTCAGTGAGGGGCAGTCAGTGAGGGGGAGTCAGTGAGGGGCAGTCAGTGAGGGGGAGTCAGTGAGGGGCAGTCAGTGAGGGGCAGTCAGTGAGGGGCAGTCAGTGAGGGGGAGTCTGTGAGGGGGGAGTCAGTGAGGGGCAGTCAGTGAGGGGGAGTCAGTGAGGGGCAGTCAGTGAGGGGGAGTCAGTGAGGGGCAGTCAGTGAGGGGGAGTCAGCGAGCATGTCAAGCTGGTTTAGTTTAAGTAAGATTGTTTACTGCACTTGGAACACAATTAAGTCATACAAGTGCCGAAGGTTAGAGGTGTTACAAGAGCGTATCATACATAAAAAAAGAAAAAGGGGAGATAAGGACGACAGATGTTAGATAGGAAAGAAGAAGTAAACCACATCAGAGCATCCGCCAACCACCCATTAAGATTGTTTACTGCACTTGCAACACAATTAAGTCATACAAGTGCCGAAGGCTAGAGGTTTTACAAAAGAGTAACATACAAAGAAAAGGAGATTTTACTTTTAGTAAAGAGTTTTACGCCCCTTTCAATACATTTACATTAAATACGTGTCAAAGATTAGAGGGTTTTTTTTGTTTGGGTTTTTTTTTGGGGGGAGGGAGGGAGGCTGGGAGTGGGAGGGTAGTGTGTGAGTGTTTTATGCATGTTCATTCTGCACACTTGAAAATCATGAGCTTTTGGTCAACTTGTACACAACCATATGACATTATAAACTCACTTTGGAGCCTGAGGTGTTTCATCCATGTTCAGCTGTCTTAAGGTTGCCTCTTTCACATACTTTTGTTCCAACTGAAAAAAAAAAACATGAAAGTTGAAAATTGATGTTTAGAAGAATATAAATTACAGCTCGCAACCTCAGTGCTTTCTTGTCGTATCTCCATTTTTTAACAGTGAAAATGTGACATCTTCTTAAGTTCACTCTTTGATATATAAACTGTTTTCACTGTTATTAAAAATGGAGATACAACAAGAAAGCACAGAGGTCGCTAGCTGTGACAAGACAAAAACCTTGTCCAGACTAATTTTAATCCACTTTTACAAATCAAAATGATTAATAATCTACAGCTTTAGTACTTTTTAAATTCAAATTTTGATTGATTAGATGCATTTTGCAGTAAAGGATTCAAAAAAAGGTTCGATGCTATCTAGGTGGAAGCTAGGGGCAGAGCAGAGTAAAACCTATCAGTGATCCAACATACAGTTTCAACTATTCAAATTACTGGACAGTTCTTGCAAAAATAACGCATGAATGAAACTAATAAGTAGTTAAACTTTTCTTACTTAATTGAAAGTTTATCTGACACTTTTCACCAAACCAAAGTTTTGATTCCACAGCATATATGCCAACATTTTCATAATTTCTAGAACTCTGCTCTATGGTTCACAAAAACTTGAGGCCTTACCTCTGCAATCTCTGTCTCCAGCTGCATAATCCGAGCATCCTTCTCATCAAGCATTTTGCGAAGCATTCCTACGCTCTTCCCATCATCTCTCCCTGTCTCAGCTCGTTTACTTACACCACTCTGTTGAAACATACACCAGCCTTTATTCATTTGAGACATAATTGCACACTTATTATGAAACTATATTGCTTTAGAAAACAACACACAACAGCTGTTTTCACAAACACCACCGAGCAAATGCGACTCATAACATAACTTATAATTCAATCTCCCAACCAACTGCCAATACCAACCCACCCCTCACCAAAGAGCCCCACAAACTTGACCAATCTTCCCTTTGAAGAATTCAAATTCATCATAATTTATGAAAAGTTGACACGACAACCAATACATTTCATTGATAACAGAGAAAGACAACATGGACACAAGGAGGAAACACATCACACCAGAGCGGTCCTCAACCACTATTTCAAAAAAGGATACAAGACTTTTAAAAAAACAACAAATCTTCCTTAAAAAGAAATCTTACAGCCAACTTGTTCAAACCCCAGTCAGGGACACCCAACGTTATAACACCTGATTACACAACAGCAAGCAAAATAACATCAAGTGGGACCACTTATGGTTCAGTGCTAAACTGTCCGATCAAATTCCTAAATCTGAGACAGTCCCAGGAAATTCGAACTTGTCCTGGTAAATTCAGGAAGGTCCCGGGAAGTTCAGGACAGTCCTGGGAAAATCAGGACAGTCCCAGGAAGTTGGGGACAGTCCTGGGAAAATCAGGACAGTCCCAGGAAGTTGGGGACAGTTGGCAAGACAGAAGCAATCAATAAAGGCAACTCAAATATTTCTCATCTAGAGAGGGGAAAATAAAACAAAGAAATAGATTTTCACCTTCTCTTGGGCTTTGTACATTTCCAGCTCTTTCTCTAGCCGCCCCCTCATCTCCTGCGATTTCTTTTCCTGTTTCTCACTGGCCGCCTGGAGAGAGGCCAGCGCCCCCTGCAGCTGCTCCACTTTGTCCAGGTACGACTGTTTCTTCCCACGCTAGACACGGGGAAAATACAAAGTAGGAACTGGATTTATGTCTAGCTTCAAGCCATGAACAATTTATTGTTCACTAAGACAGTACACTTGAAATTACCCAGGATGCCCACCCTTTGTCGATAAAAAAAAGAGAGGCAAATTTCAAGTATAGTGTCATCATTATTATTTTTAAGAGCAAGGGGGAGAATGTGGTGGCTGTCTCGTAACAATGGCCGTTACACATGTTGAGATAATTGTGATTTCATTTAGCTTTTCAACAAACAGAGAGAAAACTTACATGAAGTATTTCATTAAATAAGAGCATTGTTACATTGCCAATACTGTTACTAGTATAAAAAATCATTTCAACTGTGGTTAAACAATCAAAAAAGGAATTTTCATGGCACTTGAAATTGGTGGGGATGACACGTTTGCAAGACAAAGGAAGCACAAAAATAAGAATAAAAACCAAAAAAAAACCAGCCTTCAAGCTAAAGACTCAAATATTTGAGGCTGTTGCACAAACCTCTTCTTCCAAGGTGAGGACCTTGCTCTGTGCGTTCAACAGTGCGTTTTCGTAGATGTCCACGTGAGCTCGCTGCTCCGCCACCGACAGGTTCAACTGAGCATTTTCTCCCTCCATCTGATCTTTGGCCAAGCTCAACTCTTGATCTGTAAACAACATTTGACACACTTTACTTTCCTGATTTAAAATATCTTCTACCCTACAAGAGTATTAAACAGTCTTTGTAAATCCGTTCTGTCATTTTCAAGGAAAAGGATGTTGTTCAAATTCAGCACACAGCTATGAAAGAAAGAAATTAATACACAAAGTTAAAAAGAAAAACTTGGAACCCCCTCATATTAAAACTTCAAACGGCAGCAAGTTTTCCACGTCCATGATCAATTGCCTCAGAGAAGCTGACCAAGTTTGTCCACACCCTTGAGAAGGGGTAAAAAGCTTGTTTTACTTTAGTTTTAGTTAGAGTTTTACGGCACTCGCAACAAACAGGGTCGAGTAAGTGCTCAAGATTAGAGTAACAAACACTAAAAGAAAAAAGAAGAGATCAGGACGATAGATATTTGATACTATGATAGGAAAGAAGGAGCAAACCACACCACAGTATCTGCCAACCACCCGCATCAAAAGAAGAGCACACAATTTTATTTTTATCAAGACAGCACAAGGAGTTTGATCGATACATCATCGGTACGTCATTATGAGCATACTATAAACACATTTCTACCTGTAATACTTAAAAGAACATTGTATAAAAGTCATGATTTTACTTTGAAAATAAGCCAGATGCTAGGTAGAGGATATTAACTCACTTTGAGACAGAAGTTTAGAAATGAGAGCATCTTTCTCAGCCAACTTGGCACGGAACTCACTGTCGGAGGATGAAGAGGAGTGATGGGACTTTCCTGGGAAGAGAAATTTAAATTGTACATTACACATAGGGTTAAAATAAAAAGCCTTGACAAAAATCATTTCAATCAATATACAAGAAGTAAACAATCTGAAACAGTTTTTTACTTTCAGAGTTTCTGAAATTTCCAAAAACGGACGTATATACTGAATTTTTTTGGTTTTGTTTACTGTTTTTGGAAACCTAGCGGCTGAACTGTTCAACAACTGACCAGAATCTGACTTGCCTGGCCCTCCGTGACCCTCCAAGACCTGTATCCTCTCCTCCAGTTTTCTCTTCATAGCCTGCCACAGCGCCTCTCTCTTCTGCGATGACTTGATGAGGCCGGTGTGCGAGTCGTGGACCTTGTGGATCTCCATCTCCAGCTGCCACAGACAAATACAAGGACTAGGTGAAGTTCAGGACAATCATGAGTTGCAGCTTTAGTAAGACTTTCACAGCGCTCCAAACACAATTAGGTCATATAAGTGCTGAAGATTAGAGGTGTTACTTGAGAGTAATATACAAAGCAAAGAAGGAGGAGAGAAAACGATGATATACATTTGATAGAGAAGAAGGAAAAACCACACGAGAGCACTGTCCAATCATCCAAATACAATGAGTAAAGTGAAGCACATCCACAGAATATAAACTAGTAACTGTGACAGTGTAGTGGTCAGGTACTTTACTGTCCCATGCAGGAGACTTAGGAAAAAGTTTTATCCCTGGGATGTTGTAGTATCCATCTCACACCAGGCTTGCTCTGACACGCAGGGTCGGAGGCCCCCCTCTTAAAAAAAAAAATTGTGTCAAAGGGTGTGTAAAAACACCATCTATAGGAAAAACAAAACCCCAGACTAAAGACCACACATAGAGCAGGAAAAACACAAGCTATCATTGGCAAGCTGTCCAAGTACACCACGTAATAAATAAGTCCAGAAAGTAGTGCCGGGCGCCTAGGTTCCCGATTATTGATAAAAGCTAGGAATCATAGGAATCGACTCCGAACCCAATTACTTCAGATCAATCAATATGCAATCGACGACTGCACCTCTCTCTCTCTCTCTCTCTCTCTCTCTCTCTCTCTCTCTCTCTCTCTCCCCCTCTCTCTCTCTGGCACACACTAGTACTTTCTAATGATGTAATTTCTTCCGGTGTTTCCCTGGTTGGCTCCGAACATCTTCAAAGTTCAGGATAACTTTGATTTCGGAACACTACGAAGCATCAACTTTTTTTTTCTCAACAATATTGTTTTTTTAAAAGATTTTAAAGATTAAAGTAACTGGTAACCGTTGGTTTACGTAAAAAGGAGTCGGAACTTTTCTTCCGTAGCATTTAATCGTGGGAATCGTGGGAATCGGTTCCGGAATCGATACTTCGTCCAGCTCTAACAGAAGCAAATTTTGTTTCAGAAACAAGAAAAAAACTTTCATTCTTTTAATAACAATTGAACTTACGTTATACTTTTCTCCTACTTTTTTTCAACACTTAGAATTTGAATTTTGACTGAATATTTCTTGAGCACATGCAACTGATACCACAGATTAAGATACTACAATTTTTTTTTCCATTTGGGATGGCGCATCTGAAGAACTGGCCAACGATAAAACAGACAGAAATAATTAAGGTCAACGTAAAGAACAAGAACCCCCAGGTGAAGACGAAAAAAAATCCCATGAGAACTTGAAAAATAAAGCAGAGAAAATATGATGATAAGAAGAAAAATTGCATTCGTCGCAAAGATGGTCAAAATCTCTCTGTCTCTCTTTCTCTAACAAACAAATCAAACGTTAATATCTAAATCCACCTACAAATGGAGCAAAACCAAGCTTAAAATGTAACCAATACGTATGGCACGCAGTTAGCTTGTAGCACAATAAAAAGTATTCAGTCACATTCATCACACCCAGGCTCAATATCATTGAGAAAAAAGACCAAAAATGACATAACAGAACCATAAAATTATACAAAGAAACACATAGAGATAAAAATGACACAAAAGTTAAAATCTGTGTGTGCATTCATGCCATACACATAAGATGGTGATGGAAGCAACCTTTAACAGATTGCAAAGAGGACCAGAAAGGCGCTGAGAAGGAAAACCTAAGGTCAGAAGAACAGAGAATTCCAAGAACTAAAAAAATACTCTCAGTATTTACACATCAGTAACAAAACCTAAACTAAAAGTATACTTCAAAACTTTTCTTTAATTTAATCAAAGCCTCTCAATTAAACAAAAAATATATTTTCTCTGACAACCACTAACTATCCTCATTATATTAAAAACTTTGAATCAGCAGCGAGCAGAGTATTGTGACAATGACTGCTATTTCCGACACTCACTTTCTGCAACCTTGCCACCTTGACGGATGAAATAGCCAGCTCTTCCCTCAGAGCACGGTTCTCCTCCGTCAGCATTTCTACCATCTGGCTGGCTTTGGCAGCAATACTGGCCTGGTCATTGTCATCAGCACTTGTGTTGGTGCTCCTGGGAAACGAGGCATTTCACACTGAGAGTTGTAGCTTATGACAAAGGGAAGCCACAAATATATTGTGTTGCAGCATAGTTGAATCAGGGGCTCGTCAATAAAATGAAATCAAAGAAACCCAGAGACACTCTCTAACCATACACCGCCAGGAATAGACTGGCAATGAAAAAAAGAAAGAGGTGGAAAACTCAACGGGGAGGCATCAATAAATCACAAATCAGGGACCATAGAGAAGAGTTGGGTTTTTTTCAAAAGTAACTGTCTTTTATATTTATGCTCTTTTAAAGTAGAGACAAAAATCCAGATGGCAAATAAAGGAAGAAGAAGTCAGACTGTGACTAACTAATGAAGCAGCAGGGCCAGTCAGTGGCACCCTCCAACCATCCATGATAATTTACACTATGACCTGGATCATAAAGTAGAACACAAATTTCAACTAAACTCAAGACTAGTCAGATTCCTCCAACAATGAGGAACAAGTGTTGACGCGACTCACATCTGGCTGCCTTTTGACCGACATTTTGGGACTGGAGGAAAAAGTATGACACAGCCATCAGTCAACTTTGGTCAGACACAACAGCAGGTAGGCTACTTTCTTTTCGCCTGCTGTAAGTTCCTCCCATGGAGAGAGGAAAAGAATGAATGGACGAGTGTTTACAGACTGAAATTTTCTTTTTAATTTTATGTCGTCATGAATGAAAATCTAGGCAGCTCATTGAGTTGGCGAATACATAAATGATGACTGAATAAGTGAACTCACCTATCTGGGCTAGAGAACTTAGTGTCATGGACGTATATCCCTGGACTGGACGCACAGAGTCTGAGATCAGGATGACACTGCTGAGTATTGACTTTATCCATCATCTCATAGGAGCGGCACGTCCGAATGTCCGTCGACTTATCAGCAGCCGTGACATCTCCAGGCATCCCTCCAACAGCCCCAGGGTACTCCGGCGGGGGAGGGAGGTTGCCCAGATATGACAGAGGAGGGGTCTGAGAGCTGGACGAGTCCCCACTGCCCATTGTCCAGTGCGTGTTCACGTACGGGTGGGGGTGGTGGTAGGTGGACACCGGTGGCACACGCGGTGATAAATACTGATGGTGAGTTGACAAAGAAGAGGAGGAGGAGGACAGGGAGGAGGAAATTACCACTCCTCCCACCCCTGCCCCTCCAGGAAGCCCTCCTGCACTCGAGGCAACTAAACCAGTCCGTGCCGAGGAGGTGACGTAAGACGGATACTCACCCCCAGACCCGCCACTCAGTAAAGTCACTGTGGAGGCTGAGGAGGAGGAAGAGGACGAAAATTCCTTTGCGCTGCGCGAAGCCGACGAGGAGGAAGAAGAGGAAGTGAACTCTCCAATGCCACTTTCTCCTCCTTCGTTTGACGACTGCAGATGCATGTACCCCCCGCCACCACCACCAGCGGCGCGATGATGAACCTGCCACTGCGGAACAGTCAGGTGGCCTTGAGAGCCGAGCGGGGACGGAGAGGCCATCGATGGGCCAAGCTTGCTTTTTCCCACAACACTGGTGGACATCTGGAGCTGCTGGGAGCGGTCGGGCCCGTACGGCGAGGACGGGTTCATGTACGACATGGTGGTACTGGCAGAGCCGCGGCCAGCAGACGAGAACTTCCCTGCCGAGTCGATGGCCCCAGGAGGCATGCCCAGGCGGGCCAGGATGCTGTAGCTGCTCCCATCAGCGCCCAGATCCAAGTGGCTGTACAGGGAGGTCTGAGTTTCCTCCCCCTGCGGCTCTTGGCGCTGGGAGGTGGCCAGGTTCTCCGTGGATGAGAGGGACACATCTGTGCTGGTCTCACTGCCCGAGAAACTTTGTCGAAATCCAGGCTGGTTGGTGAAAACCTGAGGGCAAATTCAGTTTTAGTTTTAGTCAGAGTTTGACAGCACTTGCAACACAAACAGGTAATTTTAAGTACAGAACGTTAGAGGCATTACTAGAGATACACGCAGAAAGAATAGAAGAAGGAGATAAGGATAGTAACTCTTTGATAGGATAGAAGGAGCAAACCACACTTGACACATTGAGAAATGGGGGACAATCAAAGTAGAACACTGAAAAATTCAGTGAGCAGAAGAAAACCACTAGACAGTTTTGACTCACCCATGCATATATCTTCTTTTATCCTGTTTGATGTTTTTGTTATTTTAGTGGAAAAAAAAAACAACAACTTGCAACAACACAAAAAGGTCATATATAAGTGCCGAAGAGTAGAGGTGTAACAAGAGAATAACAAAACAAAAAAGGTAAGATGATGAGAAATCAGTATGACAGCTGTTTGATAGGAAAGAAGGAGCAAACCACATCAGAGCACCCGCCAACCACCCGGCGTAACATGCCACTGACCTGCTTGGAGTGACCAGGGTAGGGGGGTGGGTCCCTGTAGTTCTGCATGTCCAACCACCTGCCCCCGGTCAGTAGCCCCTCCCTACTGTGCTCATAGATGCTCTCTGTGGACAAAGGAAAAAGAAACATTGATCACCATTGAAATAAAGCACTCGATGAGTGAGTAGTGAAAGAATACGCATAAATTAGTTTAGTAGGGGAGGGGAGGGGGTGGGGCGTTCATGAATATTGGAAAACTATTCTTTCTCAGTTGGTGAAAACAGAAAACATTTTTTTTCGTTTCGTTGGTTTTTTTGGTTGTTTTTTTTTTTTTTTG